TAAACATCCTGTATGTTTAGGAAGATTCATTAACTCAATTGACAATGTTTGTTTTCATCATAGTTAGTATCTAACTAAGATCTTGCTACATATTTGTCTCGCAAATTCAATTACGACAGCCGCTATTTTTCTAGTACCTCGGGGTGGGGGGACCCCTTGAAAATTAACGCCTGGTTCATTGGAACCTTTTGAATTCCTTGAATAATCCGGCCCTTCACGACAGGCCATACAACCAAACCTTAACGGCTGGTTCAGACATTTGAATTTGAGTGTGAGCGACTTCGTTATTAATCCTTTTTTTTTAATATTACCGCGCGCAAGGTCACGGACTTGTAGAAGGTTCTCGTTTATTCTTGCTGCGGACATAACTTCTATCGTTTATCCCTGCTTTTGTTGTTCTTGAAAGTGCGTGTTCATTCTCGCCCCGAGCGCGCTACGCTCGAACCTTCTCCGCCGAATCTTCGAGATAGGGGCTCACTCTAGATAAGAGGCCGCCCGCGACCATGTCGAGTTAGTTTTTGCCTCAGCGTTCGATCTTGCTGCTTCGCCACCTTCGACGCCCGCGACGCTCTGTTGTTATCTTTCTTTTTACTTTTATTTTTGGGCACAAGTTTGCCACAATGAACGTTCAGTTTACTCAGTCATTCGCCGCCTCATCACTTGTCATTCGTGACAATATTTAGACATACTGCTGGCTCTCGGTCGAGAGCTGAGCTAGGTTTGAGTGCTACACAAGCCGACAAGAGACGCAAAAGCACATTGGGATATAAAATTACAGAAATGCGATTTAATTAACATCCAGAAAGAGGGACATAAAATACATTTAGCCCAGAAGAACAAAGCCCGTACTGACATTCAGTGTAGTAACTACAAAAATGACATCATCGAAAATGAAGAAACTATTGAATGTCGAAACTAAATGCTCCAAAACATGTTATTTTCCAACTGTAAGAAAATCATCCAACACTCTCACAAACTGCGACTTATTGCGGAAGCCGTTTCCATTTTTCAATAGTGATCAGAAAGAAAAAGGAGTGTTTGGAACAATTTGTACCGCATGAGAAGGGCGTTAGCGACCTGCTGTGAATGTTTCTAACTGTGCTGGTTTATCTTTGTTTTAGATACTTTAGAACGTCAACATTGAGGCATCGTTTAATAACGATGGCGACAGTGTCAAACAGGCGCAATAGCGTTGATCCCCAAGTGTATCCAATCCGGCCGCTGTATAGAGATGGGAAACCAAATCAAAGCTGCTTTATTTACTACATATAAAACGTAACGCCTTCCGTCGAACCATTTCGATTTTGTCTATGTTTGTTTGAGTTAGAGGATCCAATACAGCTGATACGTAATTCTGGGTTAGATGAACTAAAGCCCCTTTATACGGAAAATTTGCGACATTCTTCGATGAACGCCGCCTGCTATCCTGAGCCGACCCAGGCGGCGCTACCGTCGACGCGCGGGTGTAAAAAAGCAAAACATAAAGATAAAGGTGTGCGCGTCAGAAGAGGAGGGAGAGCATATCGCTAGCTTTCTTATTCAGGGGCATTAGGACGAACCAGTGCTTTCTATGATCAGTTTACTAGAACTAGTCCAGTGTTTCAGAGTTCGGCTTAAATAATAATAATAAATCTCTTTATTTTGCCAACACTTTACAGTTAGAAGGTGAAAAGGGAAAAAAGCTGTAACACAGCTTGACTAGTCCCGAACCACCTAAACAGCAGTTGAGACGCGGGCACCAAATTATTTACATATGATTACGACATAAATGAAAACATGAAGAGAACCTTTGCACGAAAGCAAAATAGATTAGTGTCATTATATATTGCAAATTCAGTTTGAACGGACTAGCATTAGTAGACAAAACGCGGCAAAAAACAGCTTTAACCCCCAAAAATTAACACTTTTCTTCTATTCGTTTTGGTTTAAGATGAGTATATCAACACTTAGCTTGTATTAGGTTTGGTTTGAGATTAGTAGGATGAATTCCGGTAAGCTGCTCACCGACATATTGTTAAGCTCCATATTTTTTCTACTTAACTGATTCATTGTAGTCGGAAGGGTGTATGATGTAGTGTATTGTCCGTAATTAGTTATGAAAAATGGTACTTCCCATGGTTCTACAGTTCGGGTTGGATATGCATATACCTTTTTTTGTTAGGTTTGCTAAGTCTTCGAGATAATGTTGGAATGGATTTTTTTCTACCATATATTTCGAACATAAACGATATTTGTATAAATCAAAAATTTGTATTACTCTAAGTTGATTGAAGACAATGTTCGTTAAATAATCCAGCGTAACATAAAAAATGCTTCTTAATATCTTTTTCTGTAATATAAGTGTCTTTTGAAGATTCGTATATGTAGTGCTTCCCCATATAAGATGGCCATAATTTATATGCGATTAAAATAATGAATTATATAATAATAACTTTGTTTTAAGAGGCAAAAAATGTTTATGTCGATATAAAATACCAATGACGCATGATAATTTAGATGCGATGAAATTAATATGATCGTCCCATGACATCTTTTCCTGAAAAAAAAAACAAAAAAAAACAAACAAAGTTTTTAAATATGGGTACAATTTCAATTTTCGAAGAATCAAAAAAAAAATATCCTCAGTACTGTAGACATATTTATTTCTTGGTCGAAATAAGACTGCTTTTGTATTATTGGCATTTATGTTTAGAGCATTACATTTACTCCAACTAAAAACCAGGCGTTAATTAAATTGCGGCGCGTTGCACGGACTTTGGTTGCAATAGAAGTCGTCTGGTCGTATGTAGCCATAAGTGGATATAACGCGGTCGGTCGAACGTAAACGCAAAAGACTAGAAGGGTCCCATGGGTACAAAGTGTGTCCATTCAATGAAGAACTATCCGTCAATTGTCTTGCTTTATTTATTCTGACAACTGATGTCTACAAGAATATAAACTGCGTACATTCTGCTTTTTGACCACACGGATCTGTTTTCTTCCACTCTGATATATTAAACAAGTCGTGCAACAATACTGGTATTAATAGACGAAGAGCGTGTTGGTGCATGTCACGATTGGAGAACGAATAAACATGTAAGACGAAGACGTCACAACCACACATATTTTAACTAACAATGCAGATATATGAATTCCAAGAACGAGCAGCCGATCGAAGGCGCGAAAAGCGAGGAAATGGAAAATAACCAAGAAGAGAAGAAGCAGGGAGGAGGACGATAAGATGAAATGCGAAGTCAGGTAGACATAGTTATCTCTGATTTGGGAAATTCAACTTCTGTCTTCGTCAGAAACAGTGAGGGGTAAACCGTTGTAGCTTCTGCTGTTGGCAAATGGCTTTATAATATCCCGGTCTTATTCGCTGTTATGCGACCACCAAGATTCTTGTCTCTTCAAAACGGGGCCTGCTATCTCTGCAGGAACGGGTGTGTATGACTATGGGAGGATATTGAATCAGGTGGAGCCTTGGGAAGTTCATTTTAATGTTCCCAGAGTCGGTGATTTTTGCACCTGCCAGTCTCACCTATTTATTGGCTCCCGTAGTTCAAGGAAATGGGGTACACCTTTTTCTCCTTGCATAGATTCAACTTTTTAAGACGTTGCGATTAGTACGCGTTTTCACAAAAACCCTGCAAGGACTGCTGTTCTAGCAAAGAGACATGGCTTTAACATGACCACAACAAAGCCGCCTCTGGCGAACATAGTTGTTCCAATAAAAGTGAACGTTGTGCACCTCGACCCAAGACCTCGGGAACGAGTGCGTCGAAACACGATCGGCATTTTGCCCAAACGTTCATCTCGTCAATGACACAACTTACCAAAGGTAGAGGCAACAGCGCACCGGGAGCTCAGGGATGACCCAAATATCGTCCTTCTACGAGCGAACAAGGGCAACTCGACGAGCATCTTAGACCGGAAAGCCTACGAACATAAGGGCCGAAATCTTCTCGATAGCTTGGCCTACAACAAAGCTCAAAAAGAATCCTATGACACATATACAGATAAAACGAAACAAGATCCTCGCCGAAGTCTTCAAACACCATCCAAACTCGAATAACCTCTACCTGTGGTTTATATGCAGGAACGGTTCCGTCCCTGGCGTTACGGGCTCCCTAAAATTCACAAAAATACTTTCTTCTCCGGCTCATCATGGAGTTTACGACTTCACCGCTTTGAGCAGTGTCCAATTAACTTTACTACACTTTTTCCCCTCTTGCTGGGAAACCACCGACCTGAGCGTAAAGAAAGGATTAGAACCCCTCCGTACTGCTCGCATTCATTTATATCTCGGAACGATAGATTCCCCGGGTGCGCTGGACCCCGAGCTTTTTGCTCTTGCGGGCTCTCGTCTTCTTTTAGTATTCAACATCTACCTCCGCCAGCCCCCCTCCCCCTCCCCTCCTTGGCGGCGACGAAGTAGGTGATCTTGCCTCGAGCAGATAAAGGCGCTGAACTGGACGGCGTAGTTCCGAGCCGCTGGAGAGTCGTAGTGCGCATGCCCGACTCCACCGATGCTCCATCGTCCGCTTCCGAACTTAAGCACGGCGGCGAAGATCCGCAGATGTCGGGCTTAGCGATGCCATCTCTACCTCTAACGGCAAACTGACCTCGTGTTTTTCGAGGAGAAAGTGTGACGGTGTCAGTGCCTGCGGATCTTCCGGTTCGGATCCAGTGTCTCTGGAAGAATGGTGGGTTGGTTGCAAGCTTCCTTGATGGGCCAGTGTGTCGATGACTGGCTGAACCAGAGAGGGTCGTTCCACCATTTTCGACTTTTGAGTAAGAAGGCAGCTGCAACTCCTCGCGTGAGTATAGATCTACCGGGTTATCGTGGCTCGGGGAATGGGTTCGAGGAAATCCTTCGGCGGGTCGATGAATTTCGGTCACACCGTTGCGGACGAACTGCTGCCATATTGTTGTGTCATGGGCAATCCAGCATAGGACAACTTTGGAGTCAGTCCACAATTGAACTTGCAGATGAGCAATCCTTAGTGTCTTTTTTTTACCTAGTCAAAGGGACGTGCTCCTAACAAGCAAGCTAGCAATTCCAAACGGGGCAGCGTTACTAGTTTAATGGGAGCGATGAAGGAACTACTGGTTAAGATCTTGCTTTTTTGCGACCCCTGCTCGACGGGCGTTCGCACGTAGGTGAGCACGTTCACGGTAATTACCGTCAGCACGATGAGCACCTTGACCACCATGGATATGCGCCGCTGCTTGCCAACAGCCGGCGTGGTGGCCACCCTACGGCCCGCCATGTCCTCTCTACGAGTTCCCGCTCTGGAACGCTGCGTCACCTGGACAGGTGAACCGGCCTGAGGAAGGCTGCTGCTGCGGGTGCTGTAGGTGAACCAACGCCGACTCGGTTGCACGGCCTCGTTCACGCCGGGGGAGTTGCTGTTGCTCAGGTTGAACCGGACACTTTGGGCACGCAGAAGGAAGATGGTCGTGGGTTCCCCCTGCAGGCCCCTACAGAAAGGACCGTCCTCTTCGTCAGAGTTGTTCTCGGGGATGACTTGAGGCTCCTCTTCCTCATACTCCTCTGTGGCAGACAACTCGTTGGTTGGGACGGACGGAGTGGTTGGGACGCTGCTATTGTTCAGCAGCTGCTGAAGCTGCCTCTCGAACAGGCTCCGAGTCGAGGTTACAACAGGGCCTGCCTGGAAACCCAAGTCGCGGTGCTTGGCCAACAAGGCGTCATCTGAAAGTGACGTGATGCTGTCGGACACCTCCGGGAGCGTGTAGCTGTCGTCGTGTTGTTGGAGGTATCTCGGACGGTCCTCGTCGCTCGAGTGGTCACCCGATGGGAAGCGACCGTCGTTCGAAACGTGCTGCCAGTACAGCTTAACGATGAGTTCTTTCTTCGGTGAGCCGGACGGCACTGACACGCCTCTCTGGTGAAGCGCTTCGACGAGGTTCCCCTTCGTCAAATTTACAATTTGCTTTTTACCTGAATTTTCCTCGTTTCGCAAAAGAATAGAATAAAACCGTGGACAACAACACGCATCAGAGAGCGTCGGCGCCTCACTAAAGACAACCCCCGCATACACACTCACGCCGTCGCCGTTTTGCTTTTTAATGATCTGTCCGTTGATTTGATGCAACTCTGGGTGAGTTGCTGGGTCCAACGAGAAAAGGTCGGGGATGCCGATTGTGTCCAGTCGCCACATATCAGATGGATCAGGTAGCAATTTGGAGTGCGACGTTTCACAGCTGGTTGTTGAAACGGCAGTGGTGTTACTTCGGTCACCCGTTGGGCACATGTAGCGCCCTTGTACCATCCATCCAAAGATGGTATGTACTGCTGTCAGATGCTCACTTAGACGGCGAATTTTTCCAGTTGCTACCTTTCAGTAGACGTCAGAGCCGATAGGTACACTGACCTCTCTGTCTTACCTGTAAACTAGGGGGAGCGACGTCAGCCACAATCAGACCTTCGGAATGTAGCTCATTTAAGATATCGTTGTCGAGAGGTGGTGTCATTACAGTACATAGTTCGGATGCTTCAAGAGCCTCCACGGTAACCTTGCTTGCGCTGTATTAGCTCTGTAGCGTCAATTCGACATGGCGGCAGCAATAATTTGTGGGGCGTTTAGTGCTTCCGAATGTGTAGAGGGTGAGCTCTTCGGTACCGAGAACTGGGCATCGAAGCCTCTCCGAGAACTATCGTTTTATAATGTCCGCTGGCTTCCGGTCTCCAGAAAAACGCACCTGTAGCCCAAATCTTCGCAGTGTGAAGCAAAACCCATGATACTCCCGAGCTGGTGGTGGGAGCAGTGATCACGTTGTTTGGTAGGCCTTGGTTCTCGCCTGTGTGTGATTTACTGACACCGGGGGAGCTCAGTCTTGACTTGTCTTGTGAAAAGCGCCATATGTCGCAGAGGATGGTGATACGACGTCCGCTGCAGGTGCTGCATACCAGTCGTGTCGACAGGCGGCAATCACGCGCTACGTGGTTTATTTTTCCGCATCTGAAACAACAGCTTGCAGCTCTCAGTCGGTTTTGTTTCGTGTCGGAAGATATGTTGGCATCGCAGTCCTGCAATTGGTGTCCGATGGCAGTACAAAGTCGGCATGACACTACTTCCGGTGCGACCGATGCAGTCCGGAGGACAAGACCCGACGGAAGACTGTGCTGGGCGATTGAACGGCGTGTTCCCCTTCGGTCCTCTTGTGGTGCGTCGGATGAAGACCACTGAAGTCCCCCTCGACTCTGCTTACGGCTCTCTATTCGGATCCGAAGAAACCATAAGATAGTTGCAACTTCGGTTGCACCTGGGACGCCGGTAGCGGTCTGCATATCACCCGCTTGGTCAGTGACTCCTTTTCCTTTATTTTCTGTCTAAACAGAGCAGCACGGTCATTGGGGATTGATCTCATGAAAACACGCTTGAGGACAATGGCGTATTGAGTAGGTGGAACACCCAAACCTACAAGGCAGCTTGTGCGGAACTGTATTGAATTATACAAATGTCGCAGCTGCGCTATTTTGTTGGAGCTGTTAACAGTTGACAACGCCAGTAATTGATCGATGTGTTTGTCTGCAAGAATGCTGCTCCGTCCAAGTCGTTCGAGGAGAGCCTTTATGGCAAGGTCGTACTTTTCGTCCGAGAGCCTCACCCACTCGATTGCTTGTTTTGCCGGTCCGGCTAAATACGTTTGCAGATACTTGAATTTATCGATGCGTGGGAGGCCGACGTTGTCGTGAATCGTCAGTCGGAAGTGGTCCCAAAAGCCTTGGCAGTCCCGCAGGCTCCCTGAAAAGAATGGTATCTGTAACTTCGGGAGGGCGGCAGTACGCGGTGTTTGGCGAGCGGGTGCGCGGGCCAGACCTCCTGTTCTGGCGGAAACTTGATCCCGGTCACCGATGGCTGTACCGTTGTCCGATACTTGGGATGGATTGCTGGCAATGAGATTTCGAGCTAGAGCACAACGAACTCGGGTGACCGTGTGACTGATGTTCATGTTGCACTCGGGCGTGCCTACGACCTCGTTTTCTAGGCTCTCGTCATCTGCTAGGTCCTTGACCTCATTGTCAAAGTCTTTTAGCTGCGCTTCCTTTTGAAGAAGGAAATCGCGGTGTACTTGCAGGTCGGTGAAGTCGGGATTTGTTCCCGCAGTAGATCGGTCAGTGTGCTGAGGGTACGGGTAACGGCCGGACGGATGTTGTGGTTGTTTAGCTTTACTTTACTTATTTTGTAGAAAACAACGATGGGTTGCGCAACCATGCAGGCCCGTAGGTCACCGTTGAAAAGGCCGGACGGATGACGCCGCGTGTTCTCTTTATTCGGTTCATGGATGTCGGTTATCGTGGCGCAGTAAGAGCGGTCCTTTAAAATCTCTCGGGTTTCGGCACCAGTGTCTGACGAAAGGACTAGAACCGCTCCGTACCACTCGCATCCATTTATAGCACTGAGGTGGCCCGTCACTGTAGTGCGGTAGGCAAAAGTGAGGGGCCCCGTCCCCCGGTGCGGTCTATGTCTAACGAAACGGTGAGAGCGCTTACAATTTATACGCGTTTTAACCTAAGCCCCCCCCCCCCTTCTCCCCCCCCCTCCTTCCCGTCGCGTTAACACACACGGCCGACAATTCGATCATGCGGCATTATTGAAAGTTACGAAGGGCCCGTCACTGTAGTGCGGTAGGCAAAAGTGAGGGGGCCCCTCACCGTAGTGCGGCCGGCAAGAGTGAGGAGGCCCGTCCTGTGTTCCTAAATCCCTAATTCCTGGACCTAAAGAACTAAATCCTGTTCCTAAATCCCTAAAACCTAAATCAAGTTATATGTGAGAAAAATATCTGTGAGCTGACGTCCACCTAAGAGCCTAATGTCGCCAAAATAAAGAAATAACATTGTGGGCCCCTGTAGCACCTATTTCAGTGAAGCAAACTTGTCAGCAAGAAAGAATACAATATTATTTTTCTTCATGAGAAGTGTCGTTCACTTATATAAATCCCACAAGCGTTCACAATATCCTTTACTGTTTTGAAGACATTAGGCTTAGGTAAACGCCCCCTCATACAGAAAATTTGTTTTTTCTGAACTATCTTCTGATCCAGGTAACGTCACTTTCTCAAACTTTCGCGTTCTATCCCAACCGATAGCTTCACATTCTCAAGGAGTTCGAGCTTTCTACAGCGAGTGGTTTAAAAAAAAGAAAAACGAATGAGTTTTCTTTTTCTGTTTAGATTGACTAATTAACTTTTTAATTACTAAAAATAAACACATGGCTCCAATTATAAACTAGCTGACCGTCATCGCAAACACCTTAAGTTAGTAAATTTTAGGACGACTTAAAGCACGTGGGAAACGCGGGGGGCACTTAAAGGCCTGTTCACACATGTAGCGGAGCGCTACACTCGTAGCGCTGATCTCGCCCTAAGCGCGTGCTGACGGGAGCGTTCACCAGCTTTGTGTCGCACGTTAATACTGCTGTTCATGGCAGACAATAAGTAGCAGACGACACGTAAGAAGCGCTACATTAGCGCTTCGCTGCATGTGTGAACCGGCCTTAAGTTCCCACTCGCGCAGCACGTGCAAGGCCGGCGATACGAAAAACATCATCCGCGTTCTAGAATCGTCTGCCTTGCGTCTGCTGCACGAATAGGAACTTTAGCGCACCTTCGCGCATCCGACGTGTTTCAAGTCGTCCTAAAATTGACCGATTTGGCGGTTTTCAATGACGCTCAGCAGGTTTCCAAATGAAACCGTAAGTTTGTATTCGAAAATAAAGCAAGTAATTAATAAATTTCGAGTAATATTTGGGCAGATTAGCAGGTTTTCGCAATCCCTAACATCCGCCGTTAAACCCCAATTTTTTTCTTTCTTTTTTTTAACAGCCTAGTTTTGTGATTTCTAGAAAGCCTTTTCAGAACACCCTGTATAGCTAAGCCAACGTAAAGAACCACAAAATCGTTGATTCGGGTTCCTCTTGTTGTCGTGTTGACGTTTCAGCCTTCCACCACCAACGCCTTCGAGCGCACTACACAGCCGGTCCACCGAGCCAGGCTAGGAACCCAGAAACAAGAAAGCCAGACCTGATCACTCAAGCTGTACGAAGTGTGAGAAGAGCGGGGAAAGAAAGCGGGCATTTTCACATAAACGCCGCTGATCCGGGTCCGCTTCCTTGGTTGTGGTTTGCCATATATTTTTTGTTTCTTTTGTTTACCAATACCATTGGCTTTTTCTTCGCAAACTGTACCTCCGATCATACGTGACGCAGTTTATTTATTTATTTAATTTACCCTCAGGGCGTGAGCAGTTCGTTCAATTGGGAGATGGGGAGCATTTAAGCCGCTGTCCCGGTGTTCATACATTATACAAAAGACACAGTCTGCAGATGTGACGACAAACGACAACCCGAAACATACCTACTGCTGGCGGTGCCTCGACGCGAGAAGCTGAACTAGTAATCAGACATGGTATGAGGACAACAGTAACATGGCCGCCATTATGCGACCCAGGCTGATGTTTCATCGTGTTTAGAAGCACTCCGATGTGACTCACCCACGACCAACTCATACTTACGACCCCTCCATCTGAGCGCTCCCTATAGAAGAGCCTGCTCCCGGCTGAGGGCCGAGTTTTAGCGCCACCTAGTGAGAGGCGTTCTCACTGGGCGGCAAAAAAACTCGGTCCTCCTACCTCGTCGAATTCTTCTGTTATCCGTGGTTGCGTGCCAGCTGATCGCGCTTTCAGGTTTCAAGCGCGTTCACGCTGTGAAATGTTGTCTGTGTAAAGGATACTGACGAGGTCCAATTCGTTGATTAGTTCACTTTTTGTTTTAGTTTGCGCAGCCAATACTAGATGATATTGGCTGCGACCACGCGCCGCCAACACGATAGAGGTCAAAACAATTTGGTGAAGCACGGAAAAGACGAACAAATATACAAAGTTCCAGGCCCCGCCACGAGGCGCCGCTAAAACTCGGCCCTTCGGGAGGTGCGTGCTGGAGTGTTTCCAGTTGGAGTGGTCGTAAGTATAGAGCAGGGTGCCTCAATGACCTTCTGTTTAGAGTGATGCCACCCTTTGTAGTACCCGATGCCGGCAGCACGCGCTCACGGGAAAACTACAAATAAATCGACGAAAACAAAATGTCGCCATAGCACAGTCAGCGCCACAGACGCGTGCAGGGATACGCTCTTTCACGCGCTTCTGAACAAAAAATAAATG